TGCTTTCCTACTTTTTTCACCTTAATCAGAAAGCTATCAAATACTTCAATAGAAGTGTTCTGGCATTTTCCTATTATCTGTGACAATGTGTCAGGTGAAAAATGGCATGTGCAAACAAGAGGGGACAGAATATGGGAAGATGTTTTATTTTTGGTGTTGTTGGGAAGTACTGCCAAAAGAATCAGTGTTCAGACAAAGCCAAAGCTGTCTTCATTTTGGTGGTAAAACACAACGACTAGCTTCAGTCCTTGTTGCCAGACATGGTTCTAGTAAAGTAAGATGGTGAATGATACAACTATATAGCAAGAGGAATCAGAAAAAGGAGAGATGAAAGGGTGAGGAAGGCACCTAAATAAAGAGAGATTAAAAGAATTCTTCCACTCATTTCCATGTTTTTTGATTGAGGCCCTACATAATCGTTTCTGTTTCAGAACAAGTATATGTCCTGGCAAAGCATCTTTCACAGTGGCTGTTATGTGGCTCTGATAATAATCCATGGAAAACACCTCTTTGCTGACTCACACCAGAAACTAATTCTGAGCCATTTCTATCTGATGCAGTCTTACTCACTACCAGGTTTTTTCAGTGACTGCTGCTATGGAACACCCCTTGTACTGGTTTAGGAAAACACTTTCAACAGCAAAGTCTCCCCTTGCAGGTTCATTTCTGTACTCACCTGTTTTTCTTGTAGTGGTGTACATGACATATTGGCCATAGTTAACAGAAAAGAACAGAATTGCAAGGCTGTAAGAAGCAAAGACAGTTTCCAGAACAGCTGCCATTAAAATACGCCTTCAACTCTAGAACAGTTCTGCTTCATAGCATATGCTGTACACCAAGTAAACATTATATTGTTTTCTATGTATTATTATTTCATTATGCTGTAGTATTTCAGATTCTATTTCAAATTCTTCCTCTTGATGATAAGTAACTACATGTTAGAAGATCCAAAGAAAGGTTTGGAGAAAGAAATTAATTTAGCATCAGAATAAAATAATAGCAACCACTTGTTTGCTCTCAGAGCAAAATATATTGTGCTTTTCCCAAGTCTGATTCTTCTTGTCACACAACAATGTAAAACTAATATTCAATAAAAAGGCGCCTTCCTATCTGCCTTTCACATTCATCTATTCTCTGACTTTTAGTTGATATATGTAGGCTAAGGACATCCTCACCTTGTTTTGCAACTCTTACTTGCTTTCACATCTTGCATAATTTTTCTGACAAGCTTCCTGAGGTATTTTAGCTCCCTCTCAGACCTAACAGGTGAGTACACAGCCATCACGGTACCAAGCCCTAGGAAATCGATTATCTTGCCTATCACCCAGCCAGAACAGTGGCATCATAAGTGGCTCTCCTCTTCCTGCTGTAGCTACTCACCACTTCCTGTCAACTCTTCCTTTATGAACTCACTAAAACACTTTCTTTCATTTTCAACCTCACTGACTTTTTCCATGTTCTGGTCATCCCCCCTTCTTTGGTTAGAGACAGACATCCTGCTACCTTGTTCCCTACTTTCACTTCCAGTTGCTGCTGCTGAAATTTTCCCTTTTGCCTCGTATTTTTCTACACAGCCAAGGCTTTGCACAGCTTTCTCCTTGTATTCACCTTTGGTTTCTTGTGATTCTCTTCTTCCTCTCACTCGTGCCTTGTCTTCATTCTTTTCTGATTTAATTATCATACCTTAATATAGGAATTCTCTCAATTTCTCTATTTATCAAATCATTCATCTTCCACTTCAGGAGACAATGCAGCCCTTTACAGCCACTCTTCATAAAGCTTGCTGCCAAAGTGCACTGCTTGACTGTACACTCCTTGGGGGAACTGTATTATTGACTGCACAGTATCCACAGTATTTGCATAGCACTGGACAGACTGACTAACCAATCAATAACACATCAAAGGTACAGCTACAACAACTGCATTTTACCTTTCCAAAACAGCATAGTTTTTTTTCTAAGTTTATTCAGTTGGAGAGATAATTCCTGTAATTAAAGTAGTGGAGACCAAAGCATCCACCAAACGAAAAGAAGCGTTCAAATGTGACGTATCACACTTGGAATGCCTTCCTTGCCTGCACTGCTCTCCTGGGATGAGAAACAGGAGAAGGCGCTGAAACAATAAGAATAATGAATAATCACATATTTAGCAAAACCATTCAGTTTGGAGTTTGTAATTTGCACAAAAATCTGGATTTTTGGAGCAATTTCATTTAGGAGCAAAGATATTTTTATTTAAAGGCAATTAAATTGCAAAATATGTATTTCCACAAAATCTGTTATCAGAAATCTTTTTTAAAATGGTAGTAAGCTTAAATATTTCTAATTTTTCCAAAAGACTTGGAGGTGTACAGCATGACTTGACTAGTTATAGTAGAGACCTGCTGGGAAAAAGATGGCCACTTGGATTTTTAAACTTGAAATCTTGTTTTCTGCTAAATGACAGAGAAATACACTGAAACCACCATCAACTTTTCCTGAGTTTGACAGTTGCAAAAGTCCTCTTTCTGCTCCTCACCACTGACTCACACACCACTGCATCCCGAGGGACTGAGTACACTAAAGCAAGGAATGAGTAATCAGGAAAAAGATGTTTCCCTTCTTCAAAGTATTCACTAAAGCATTCATCCTTTCAGGACTTCCAAACTAGTATTTGTTTGGGTTGTAAATCCAATACTGACAATGTCTAACATGATCTCAACTCTGAACCACGTAAATTAAATTTCCTAAAATATTAGATCAGATCAGGTCCTGAAGAGTTCTTCCATTATGGTGCAGGGTGGGTTCTAATTTAAGTTCTCTGACAACAGAGTTAACAGCAAAGGCCAGAAAGAGCAATCTGATTATTAGACCTGTCTCAAAAGACAAGACATATATTCTTCTACATTGGAAAGGGACATTATTCAATTAATTCAAGACACCTTTGGAACAAGTTGATGCCATAAGGAAAGCCAACAGTTTCAGGCATATTTTAGAATGCATCTGAAAAATGATTTATTGTATTTGACTGCCACTTTATTTACTGCTGGGAAGCAGCAAAATAGTAGGTGTAATGGAGCAGACTTTGAAAAGAAATGTATTAAAACGTTTACTTATCGATGGAACATTCTGCTCAATGAGCACCCCAAAGAGCTGATTTACTTCTGTAGACAATAAAAGCCACTTTACAATGAGACAAAATAATTGATTTATAAAGAAAAAACCATGGGGTGTGATTATTAAGTAATGCATTTCTTGAGAATTAAAAAGTTTTTGCTGCATTAATTACTGAAATTGCTACAGCCATGGGTAGCTTACAGTATTTCTTAATCCCTTCAATGTTTCACTCTTTAAATATAAGATACAAAAAGTTACTTTTTATGTGAGCAGAGTGGCTTGTCCTTATGAATACAACACTAACACACCACCCAGCAGACCACACAAACATCTTTGAGCTCCAAGATACCACAAGATAGTTTTTATTGAATTGTAAGTCAATACTAAACTGATTAGCCAGCAAGTTCATAATCACCAGAGGTAATATTCACAATTCAGGAAATGGGGTCAATCAAGAGCTAGATGCGCATGTGTTATTTCCTACTTTCATGATAAAAGGTGGCAACATTCAAAATACTTGGCATCAGTATTTCAAGCAGGATCCTCTCAGTCAGAGGAGTCTTTGGATTCACCTCACTAAGACTGTCCGGGATTTCTGGTCATAAATTAAATTTGAGAAATAATTCAGCACTCGATACCAGCAACATTTATGCCAAGACTTACTCTATAAAACTCAATAACCGGCTCCAACCTGCCGCTCAGATAATAGTCAGGGCAGTGCCAGGTCCCACATTAACATGGAGTGCAGCACTACACAAAGCACTGAAATCATAGAGATGAAAAATGCCAACGCAATGAAGAACAACGAAAGCCATGACTATGGCAACGCCAGACCTCACAGCATTCAATGTCTCTTCCAGCGTCCAGGAGAATGGCTACCTGAGGTCAGCCATGAGGTGAGAACATGGGGTCTAAAAGCTGGTAACGCTACAGCAGGCTAGCTACGAAGCCAAGGTGTGAAGAGGTGGTCAGAGCTAAACCTAACAGCACTCTTTCCTATCAAGAACAATAATATCAAGAGGACATTCAACATGCTACCTGGCGAATGAAAACCTTTACACTGTGAAGCCACAGGAACACAATTTGATACTCAAGCACCCTCCAAACAGCATGGCCATTTGCTTCACAGTGGCCAGGGCACCGCACTATGAGCTCTTTGCCACAGACCAGTAACTGCATCCTTAAGACTCCATTATGTGTGGTGTAAAGTGGAGCTTGCTCTCGCAATGACCTAGTTCAGCTTCACTTATAGCCAAGCTCGTGTGAGAAAACCTCCTCAACCTGGGAATCCCTAAGCAGGAACTGTTTGGCAGTGATGGTGGCTAGCAGGAGGTTGACATGCCACCCAGTTTGCTCAGTGCCATCTTCACACAGTTGCCCTTGCTCAGGGAAGCCGCATGAAGACACCAGCAGCCATGAGGCCACCCTTTTCCTCAGAGATATGGCTCTAACGGGGCAATGGGTGAGGACGTCGTGCTGCACCTCGTCCGCAATGACCTCAGTACACCGGCCGCCCGCTGCCTCCTCATGAAGCCCATGTGGCAAAAGGGCGATGGCTTCCATTTCCTGGAGAGGGCTGGCTAATTGTCAAAATGGATGCAAGGGTGTAGGAGGGTGGGCGCCAGCGGAGGCGACGGGTGTCCCCTCAGCCCACCGCCCTCATCGAGGCTCAGAGCCTTCCCGCCACCTCCATTTCCTCGGCGATGGCCACGGGGTGGGTGGAGAGCCCATGAGGCGCCGAAGGGGCGGGAAGGTGGCTGGCAGGGCCGCCCGACGCCGGCGGCGAGGAGCGGGCCCCGCATTCGTCTCTCCCTGTGGTGACCTTGGGCGGGCGGCGCGGCCCTCCCTGCCGCGCGGCCGCTCCTTTCCTCCGCCCCCCTTTAATTTTTATTAATCAGGTTTTTATTTATGTATTTTGGCCGCGGATAAGAGTTTGAAGCGCTCCCGGCTCGGAGCGGGGCGTGGAAGGAGGCCGCCCTCCGAGCGGCCCCGGGACTTTCCCTGCTGGAGGGGGCGGGGGTACCCGTCCCGCTCACCGTTCCCGCCGTGTCCCTCCCCCCCGCCCCCCCAGGAGGGCTGTGAGGGTGTTGGCGGGAAGGGCGTCTGTGGCGAGGAGGGGGGCAGCACAGGCCCCGCTGCCTCGGGGAAGACGCGGCTCCCGGCGCTGTGCGCCCGAGCTGCTGCTGGTTACGCCAGCCCCGCCGCCTGCCTCTGCCTCTGCTCGCCTCTGATTCTGCGCACAGCCAGCCCCAAAGCCTGTCATTCTGCAAAACACAGTTTACTCAACAGAGCGAGTGGGGGAGCGGGAGAGGTGGAGAGAGGGAGACGGCGCCGAGGAGCCCAGTCCCGCAACCCAGCATGGCTTCAGGGGACCTTTACGAGGTAGCGGGGGACCGCGGGGCTGCCGGGCGGCGGGAGGGGGGGCGCCGGCCGGGCGGCGCGGAGGGCAGCGGTGCCGCGGCTGGGAGCCGCTGCTCCGAGCCCTTATAGTTGCCGAAGAGCGGAGGAAATCGCCGAGGGAAGGGCTGGGGTGGGGGTAAAAGGGCTGGCGTGTTCGCCGGGTGGGGGGGAGGGAGGGATGGAGCGGCTGCCCTCCCTTCGCTCTGCCTCTCTCTTTTTTCTTTCTCTCTGTACTTTCCATCGGGCTTGATCTTAGCAGGCCTTGCAAGAGAGAAGGAGGAAGGAGTGAAGGAGAGCGAGAGTTAGCGGTAGGATGGGGAGGCGATCGCAGTGTGATGAGCCCGGAGAGTGGAGAAAGTCCAGGTAAAGTCATAGGCGCTCTGGACGTGCTGAATGTGCAGATTAGTGCGAAAAAATGCGCTTTAGCGCTGCCGGGAGGCGCAGGGATGGAGGCGGCTCTGCGCCCGCTGTGCAAAGTGCAGGAGCCGGCGCCAGGTTGCTTCACCTACAGCCCAGGGGGGGGCGGCGGGGGCGGCGGCCGGGCCGGGCCCCCACTTCACACAGCGCCGCGCCGGGCGGCAAAGTTTGGTGGGGGCCCCGCTGCGGTGCGGCCGGGCGGCCCCGGGGTGTGAGGTGGGGCCGGTGTCGGCCCCCCGCAGCCCGGCGTGCAGAGCCCCGCGGGGAGCGCGGCGGCGCATCGGGGTCCGGTCGAAGGAAGGGGTTGAAGAAGGAGCTGGTAGGCAGTCGTGAGACAGCCGAATTTTGACCTAGGGCACCCAGTTCTAATGCCCAAACTGAGAACAAGTCAAGCCGCTCATGCCGTGCCAGAGAAAGTAGAGATTAAAAATAAGACAGAAGACCCTGGTGTTTAAATATACAGCTCTAGTAAGTGGAAGCTGAAGTGGAACCGGGGTGGAAGTCTACCATTTGAAAATACACCCAAATATGACTTGACATCCAGCGGCTCTCGATGTGGAGCACCTCCTCAGGCTCCATGGTTCCTGCAGAAACAGCCGTTCGTGGTGTGGTCATCCGGCGTGCACGGTTTGAGGGCTAGGACAGAAACTATCCGCGTCTGGTTGGAACTATGTGCCAAGGATTAGGCACTGCTCAGCCATCAGGGTGTGCTTGGGTGTGGAACTGCTGCTGCAGTTGGTTGGACATGGCTGGATTTAGTCTCCATTTGATGCTCAGTTGTAGGGTCTTAAGTGCAAGAAGTAGAGGATCTGGCAGATTTTGCATAGACAGTGATTACTTTGTCAGGTATTTCAAAGTCTTTAACAAAGGTCATAGTTAAGCAATGGCATTGCTCTATTAGGACTATATTTTGCTGTGTGGAACACACAGTTCTTTGAATAGTGCTTACACTTTTCTGCGTGGTGCTAAATTGTCAGAAGTACATGATTATTTTAGTGTGTCATTGACCTTTTCCCCACCATTTTGAAGTATCTGCCATATTGCTTTGCATTTTAAAGATATTGCATGTCAGCTGTATTGCTGTTGTGACTCCGCAATAGCTGGTGGGAGCTGTGTGAAGAACAATTTTGACCCAGAAATGTTAATGATACAGTTTTGTGTAGAGGATCTTCACCTGATATTGCGCAAGTTTTCTTTAGATGCTGTGATTAGTTCTAGAAAGAAGTAAAACTAGTACCTCTCAGGCAAATGGTAGCCATGCTGGTTTACTCTTACTAATTATTAAAATATTCTGGGGGTTTTATGATCTTTGTGTTATTTTAAGACAGTGGATGTTTGACACTTGGATGTGGGCTGTGCATTGAGTGCACTGCTGAATGGTATGAAAGTGATATTACTCAAGTAGTAACCTGGCATGTAGGGTTTCTGTGGGAGAGCATTCGTTCAACCCACTTTGCAGTCAGTTTTTAGGCCCAGACACTGCAGGCATTTGAATGGATGAGTGTGAATTTTTAGTGCTGTAGTTCAAAGACTCTGCATCACACTTCCTTTCTTTGTTACTCCATTTGAACTACTTTTGCTTATAATTGTATAATACAGAATGATTGTATCCACCAGGACAGGTAAGTTAAAGAGGTATGGCTAGTCATTTCTTCTTATGTGAGGTTTCTGGGATATGAGTTTATCAGCTGGTCATGATGTAAAATCTGCATCTACGTGTTGGACTTGTGGGAAGAGGCATGTGCAAGGCTTTGCTTATCAATCAGTCTACAGTTTGCATTTACACTGCGATGTTCTTGATGACAAAGGACAGAAGAAATATCGAGAAAGCAGAAGAGTTTGTATGTGTAATAGGTTGCAAGTGTGTAGATGGTAGTAGCTTCATTTAAAAAATGACTCAGCTTTGCCTCCCTGGTTCTTTCCGTCCCAGAATACCAACTGCATGAAAGGGACTTGGTAGAAAGAAGCTCTTCCAGGTGGGTGTAATGTCCCACACCAGTTAGCACATGAGATAAAGTGTGTTGTGCCTTCAGAGCTGATACCTTGCATGCTTGCTTGGATATATCCTTCTTTTCTCTCCTCTTGAAGAAGTAAAACATGATATGGATGGCAGTTCCATGATTTTAGCTTGAAATATTTTGAGTCTGTTGGTGTAATATAAATAATTTGGGGCTGTTGGTATAAATAAATAATTTGGGACTTAACGGTGGCATTCCAAAGGTGTACTACACTCCCCTTCGACTGCCCTTCAACTGCATTAGTAATATCTGAGTTCTTCAAGGATTCTTACTGAACTTCAGCAAATAAGACAATAATTAGCTCTGCAATTTAGAGTATTTAATACTGCAAAATTATTTTGTTAAAGCCAGTCATGATCGAGGAGCCATGGTAAAGCATATTAAAAAGTGCAGTGTGTGCTCCCTATACTAACTTCTCCTGTTTTGGTGGCACTCAAGAAGAAACTTAAGCGTAACATTTTAAGTTTTGGTGATTGATGTGCATATTTATCCTGTCAGTTCATTTATTTTCTACTGCTGTGTAATTTTAAAAGGCCTTTCAGCCTTCTAAACTTAAAGATAAATTCAGTTTATATCTTTACGTTGGAGTAAAATAAGATCTCAGCCAAAATACCAAACTCAGTGTTTGGTTTACTAAGTGCCTTTTTCTAGTTAGAAATGGCTTCTAACAATCTGAAAAGCCTCCTATTATATTTCCTTTAAGACTGTGAAACAGGTAGCAATTTATTCTAGAAGCAAAGAGCACCCATTATGAATTCTGTGTTTACTGGTAGTCAGTTCTAGATACATGTATTAGAACCAAGAAACTTTACATTCAAAGATAATTGCTTCCATTATGTGATAGAAGGTAGGTGTTAGTTTTGAAGCTTTATTTTTAAGCAGTGGTTTGTTTTTTTTTTCCTTAAAATTAACAGTAAGGAATGCTGTATATATTTTAGTGTAATTTTCAGGCAGCAGAAAATACTAGTTTGGTTTTGCTTAACTTCCATGTGCTTACGACTTGAAGCTTTTCTGAGTGGATGAGAGAGTCATGGAATTTTTCTCATAAGAGGTAACCTGTTAAATATTAAAGAACTATGGTGCATATTCCTTAGAAATAACAAACTGAAAATAAGGGATTGACAGAAGGGCCTTTTGGGAGTAACACAGTAGTGGCCTTCAGGAAGGCAGTCCTGATTTGATTTATAATTCAAATACACTGTTGGATGCAGTGATAGGAAATCCTCGTTCATTTTATTAATGAACAGAAAGGGTAATATATTTACTTATAAATACCAAGTTTGTTAATTCCCATTCAAGTTGTTGTCAGTAATTTGAAGTAATATTTGTATTTTCTGTGTATAATCTAGTTCTCCCATTACCTGAACCCAAGTAGTTCTCTCACAAACGCTCTGGTATTAAAAGTTATGAGATGTCTTTGGAAGGGAAAAAAAATTCCATGTGAACAGTGCATCTGACTGTTTTTTGTAGCGCAGATCATCCCATTTACTGCAATAAAACTCCACTTTATTGATTAATATGTAAACCCGTTATCAGTAACACAGAGGTGCTCATGAAACTGATGCTTTTCTTATTTAATATTTTGGGGGGTTGCATACAATGAACACAATTAGAGATTCAGGGACGATGATGTTGAAATTTAAGTCTTATTTTAACATTGGGTCAGATTATATTACACCACCTTACGTAAGTGATCTACTGATTATAACTAAATCTGTGAAAGGGAATGTCTCGTGTATTTCTGAATCACAATAATAAAATTAGTCTTTAAAACTCAGCAGTTTTTGCATTGAAGTGTTGCTCTTTGATGAAAAGTGATGTTTTAAAGAGCGGCATCTTCTCACTGAAATGATACAAACCCATGGATGGAAGCCTTGTCCACCATAGTGACAGGTTCCAGTTAAATCTTAAGTCTGTTTATGCAGCTGTGTAAGAACAAGCTGGGGTTTATTTTGGCTCATGTGATCCACTAGAAAGCGTATTTCCAGATGAGTTTTGACGTTTCCCTTTTGTACCTGCACTCAGGTACCAGCAAAGTCAAACTTGAAGATAGTAATGGCACTTTTTGGCCTGCTGAATCCCTGTTACGTTGTGGCTTTCCATCTTGCCTGTCTGTCAATGGAGCTACGTTTTAGGAAAGATACATAATTGCACCCGCTTATTGAACTGGAAAGCAGGAATCTATTTTTGAAATATTGTACCCATGTATCTTCTAAGACAGAGGTGACTTGCAAGATGGTATATTTAAGTAAATGTTACTATTTCTCAGGTTAAATTAACCTCTGTTGCTATAAGGGTTCCATGGTGAAGGAGCAAGACTGATTTCACAAGCAGAAAATGGTCTGCTGTTGAAGTAGGATCTGGGGAATATAGAACTGAGTCAAGCACTTGCTTCTGTAGAATAGCAAGGTATGGCTGTGATGCCGATTTCAGTACTACCAGGCTTGTTCTCACCCACTAAGTACTTGGTCATCTGTAATTAACACCTTAGTTTTCTTTCAGTAGAAAAGCTTTACTAGCAACTGTTTAAAAAAATCAGCTATTTAT